ACTTTTGTCTTTCCAGAGAATCCGCCAAACAATTTCTTGGCAGTTTTTTGTCCTCACTCTTCTTGAAGTACATGCTCACCATAGTCATTTTCAAGCAAATTAACATTGGCTAAATGATTATTGTTGTGCATTTTTTGTGATGAATAATATGATAGTGAGTGTAGATTTTCCCAAAAAAGTCATCATCTGGCTGGGATTAAATGTTCATCTAAAACCTGATTGTGGCTATAAAATGAAGACTGGTGATGGCAGGTTTTCTTTGGGCCAATCACTGATTAAGTAGCCAGTGGAAAGGATGCTCTGGTATGACTGGAAGTTACAGTTAGGGTGGGCCAGGCAGCGTTTTGTTTTGAAGTAGTAAAACTGAAATCACCTTTTGATATATCAGTTGATCAATCTGAAAAGTACAATCTGACTTTTGTTATCTAAAGGGTTAAAGCTTCAGATAACAAAGAGCTGAAAGAAACTGGAAAGTTCCCAAATGGTTGTCCCTAAGAGCAAAAAGTGGGGAAAAAAATGTCATCAAAGATGCAGACTTTAGAACTGAGCGCTGAAAACAAGCCGGATGTTTGGTGTTCTTTTTAACCAAAGGACCTCATGGAAATGTGTTTAAAGTTGAAAGCTGAAATTTTCAAAAGTACTCAGACATGAAAATAAAAGAGTAGTGTCCACTAAAGCAGGCATTGTGAAATATATAAGCATGCAAAAATCCTTTTTGCACTTTGGACTTTTAGTTCAAAATCAAGACAGACATAAAAGAGGCTCATCTCGTTATGTCTTTATTTGCACGTCATAAGCTTTTACTCCTAGCATACTTATAGGTCCAATTATTAATTCAATGCACACTTTTTAATTTGAACAATCCTTGGCCCTATTTATTATTTATGGATCATGGGATGTATCAGCATTTTTAGTGAGGGACTTGTTATAGTTTTTGCAGACTAAGCTCACCATACACAGCACTCATACAGACTTCCTCATCGTGAGCGAGCTATCTTACCTTTCTCAACGATTTCGCAATCCTTCATGGCCCAGTCACAGTCAGAGTGTGTAAGCACAGCTGTTGGTGACCTCTTGACCTTGAGATGAAGAATTCCAGTAGACATCACCATGTGCCTGAAGAGGAAACGCAAACATCTAATATGTTTGTATGCACATTTTCACAGTAGATTTCACTGTGAGCTTTGAAGCCAAAGCATGCTAAAAAGTTGGGGAGGTTTTCCCTTTCTTTTATTCACATCTGGCTAGTGCTTTTTACAGCAAAAAGTATACAATAGTAGATGATTACCATAGAACTATTTTGAGCAATGTTGACATAAGTAACAGGAAAGCAAAAAAAAAAAACAAACCCAAAAAAACTTACCTCCATTGAATAAGCTCCAACTCAAAAGTTCAAAACTGATTTCAGGACTTCTTGACCTCTTATATTGATCAATATCTTCTTGCTCAAACAGTTCAGAAAACTTTAAAAATAACTGTTTGCTGAACACTGCGCCATGGTGACAGGACAAAAGAAAGAAAAAAAGTTCCTCTTTTCTTAAGAATGCTGTCGGAGTGGTTTTGTTGCCACTTAAGCATTCAGGAAGAGAAGAAGTCACAATGCTGTCCTTTCAGGGGTTAGAGGGAGAACAAAAAAGGGGGGGGGGGACACAAGCCAAAATATGGCTGAGGGCTTAAACTCCACTGAGCATGTGTCATACATTTATTTTGAAATGTACCATTCAGGGAAATGCATGCCATTAAAGATGAACTATTTAGAACTAAAATATGTATTTACAGCAGACAAGTGGAAACATGCCTTCATCTAGATGTAATTCAATAAATAGGCATGGTTTCCTGACAGCAGGAAGATCAAAGTAACAGCAGAGAGTCACTGTGCCCCAGGCAACTCCAGCAGTCCCTCACACAGCTCCCTATTGTCCTGCCTTGTGACTACAAGTGCATCCCCTCTCAGCCTGCTCCTTTCATACCACTGTTTTCTTCAGTGAGATGGCCACACCAAGCAAAATCCAGTAGCCAAAAGTCACAAGACTGCCTCGAGAGAAAGTTCCAAACCATCTCTACAAAGAGTTATCTCCAGAAAATGTTTCAATGGAGTTTTCGCCACTCAATGACATGAAATCCACAGCACACACTTGTTCCCAGCAAATATTAACTCTCACCTGGATTTTGTCAGTTGAAGTCTGTTGAACGCTTAAAGAGGAGTGAACAGGTGGGTGAGTGCTGCAGTGATTTCCCTAAACAAACAGACACAGGAGAGCACCTGCAATTCAAATACAAGGCCAACATGTAAAACGAAACCAATTCGTGTCCCAAAACCTCCATTTGCCTGTATTTGAATGCAGCCAAAAGAGGCCAAGATGTGCTATATAAGACAAAATAAGACGAACTGAGTCAATTTGCTTTTCTTTTTTTTTCAGGAAAAGCATGGCTATGTCCCCACTGTGTGGTCGGCTATCTGGTGTTGACAACACCACAGAATAAGCAGCATAAAAGGTTAATTCCCTTTTCTAACATTTACAGTAAATAAGGCAGTAGTTGAACTGGTTTCATTTTGAGAAAAGCTCTTTAACTGGAGCGGAAGATGTTTGCCCTCATGTGGACAGAGACTGTAAATGCAGCAACTGGGGGGAAAAGAGAAGTATTACTTAGCATAAATTAAGGGTCAACATTCAGAGGAAGCATTTTGATTTGCATGACAGTTTGTGGCTTGAAGAGCTTGCAGTAGCTACAGTAAACTGCTTGCCTCTGATCAGCCTGATGTACGTCTCTTTAGCAAAGGGTAGTGGTTTTGTTTCCATTTCCACATTCTTTAACTTTATGTCACAAAGTCATCTCATCAAGAGGTTAGCCACTGACACAAAATTGCTGATCTTTTAAATTCTAAGAGGATCACATTCATGCACAAGACAAAAGGTCTAACTGGACTTGTGCTTATATAGCACTTTGGTAGCAGAACGCTGCTGCAGGATTGCTCTCCCCCCGCTTAAGGACACCTACACCAGGAGATGCCGGACTAGAGCAGCGCAGATACTAAAGGACCCGTCCCATCCTGGCAACAAACTGTTCCAACTTCTGCAATCTGGTAGAAGGTTCCGCATCTTCCGGGCAAGGACAGAGAGACTCAAGAGGAGCTTCTATCCCCAAGCCATCCGTGCCCTAAACACACACACCCGCCCTCTCACATCATCTATAATTGACTGAGACAGGACTCTTCCAGACACTAAACCAAGGCACAATGTACATTTCAATTCCTTTAATTTTAAATATGTTTATATTGTCTATCCTGTAAAATAGTCAGATATCTATTCATATTAATGTACAGAATTCACCTGCTTGCTGCTACTACTGCACATTCACCCAGTGCATATACTATATATATATATATATATATATATATATATATATATATATATAATGTTCTTCCTCTCCCCCCCCCCCCCAATTTTTGCACATGTCGAGGAGCGTGTCAGGCTACATTTCACTGTGTGTTATACTTGTATAACTATACATGTGACAAATAATAAAGAACCTTGAAGAACCTTGAAGAACCTTGGTTATTCTTTTGGTCACTCAAAGAACTTCCTTTGAGTGCTCAAATGAGGGATTTGTTCACGCACATTCATACAAGACTTCTATGCCCAAGTGCTTTATAACAGACGCACTCACGCTCCGATGGATAGTAAGGATAGATCTTTCATATGTTATGGCTTGTTTTGGTCAGCCACCTATTCCACATGGGCACATGAGCCTTGTAAGCCATCCGGGAGGGGCTCAGAGTAGAATGAAAGGAGCAGTTGAGGTGGTTCGGGCATCTCACAAGGATACCTTCTGGGCACCTCCTGGGTGGCCACCAGAGGGAGGCCCCAGGGCCGACCCAGGAGACGTCGGAGAGATTATATCTCTTGGCTGGCCTGGGAACGCCTTGCTGTTCCCCTGGACAAGCTGGATGAGGTGGCTGGGGAGAGGGAGGTCTTCTCTGCTTCTCTGCTTAGGCTGCTGCGCCCACGACCAAGCCCCAGATAAGCGGAAGAAGATGGATGGATGGATGGATGGATGGATGGATGGTAGGTTTACCCAAAACACGCTTTATGAACCTTCCTCCACTGAATGATCAAAAGCAGATAAAATATCAAAGGCACCAGTGCTTGTTTCTGTTAGACTTGTGTGATAAACTTGTGTGAAATCTCTGGCTATAGAAAAAATGATTCTAAACAACAACAAGATTTTGGTTTTAGGTTGTGACAGTTATACTTGGCCTAAAAACTCCCTGAAAAGCCTTGAGTTGGTCCAACATGCTACAGCAAAGAGTATTGACTGGGACTAGAAAGAGTCCAGAATCGCATTTAAAATTCTGCTCCTCACATTCACGGCCTTGAATAATCAGGCCCCATCTTATCTTAAAGACTTCATAGCACGGTATCACTCCAATACAGCGCTTGACTTTCAGACTGCAGGCTTACTTCCAAGGATATTTAAAAGTAGACCGAGAGACAGAGCCTTCAGGAACCAGCTTCTAGTTTGGATTTGGGATACAGACACTCTCTCTGCCTTCAAGATTAGGCTTAAAACATTCTTTATTGATAAAGCATATACTTAGTATTGGCTCAGGTTACTTTAGCCCTTGGGGGCTTCACATGATACACTGGGTGTTTCTTCTTCACCCACCTTTTATCACTTACTATGTGTTTATACAACCACACTGCATTTAATCATTATTTTACTATTCATCTCTGGCTCTCTGCCACAGTGTGTATACCCATCTGCTGACTTGAGTGGTCAAACCAAACACATCACAATGCAGCCGTCAACAGAGGCTGGAGTCCTAAGAAAGACTTTGCATTAGAATGGTGTTTGAGGTCTACACCAAACCTTCCCCTGCCAGCATTCAGTGTCAAGAATCACCTCTTTGTGCCTGTTTATCCACGAGTATCACTGACCGTCGCTCTACCGCGAGCTCGTCCGATTGGCTGTTTTTGCTGCACCTGTTAGAGTCTGGCACCAATCACGCGCTTCTGTCGGTGCGCCCCAAGATGGCGGCTTACAGTGTGCTGTAGTGTACATCATCACACTGGAAAGCGAATATTACTATCACTCGACCGTTTAAACTCATGAGGAGGCCGAGCAGAGAGAGCCGAGCGGGGCCGAGCTGTCGCCAGTGAAACGCGGAAGCGGTTGCCGCATGGTTTCTTCACGAGAGCAGCCGGTTTCGGTGTCGGTCTGACGGGGGTTATCTGAGTATGGCCACCGACAACAGGATCAATTTTTGGAGGAGAAACGCAAAGGTTCCTGGAAGGTAGGTCCTCTTTTCTTCATAAAGTAGCACTACATTTCTTAGTGAGTTTCAAACAGGCACTGTTGAAATATTGTCCTTAACAAAGACACACATTAATAATACTCTTTTCTATTGATAATACTCGTAACTAACAGATCTGTGTGGAAACACAAGCGCACAAATCGACTCGTTCGCTGGATTTCACGCATGAGCCGCTTCCAGTGTCTTATTCGAGTGTGTGTTGTTATAACAGCTCCCAGCTCAGAGGCAGACCCCCATCTCTTTCTTCTCTGCGGTTTCTAACGATCACACTGGAGGTGGCAGCTGTCTGTCAACCGCCATATGCTTTCTCAGTCTATGCTGAGAGGTGCCGGTGACAGTACAGTAAAACGATCAAAAACATCAGGGAGGAAGAATGCACTGTCTGAACCACTAACACAGCACTAATATCTTATTTTGTCATCTCAGTGGGTTTTCTTGGAGGAGTTAAATGAAACGCATCCTCGTTTTATGGCAGCATTACTTGGGGAGGACACAGTAAAGACATTACTGTTTACAAATGAAATGTGTATATAGTAAATATTATGTTACAAGAGTGGGGAGAAGCATAATTTTAATAAAGTGCACAGTAGAAAGCCTTTGTGTTCAAAGTGTCTTGTAAAAAGATATTTAAAAAGTTTCTACAAACTGCACTGCCCCCCAAAAAAGAATAAATAAAAAAAAGTACATCTTTCAGACACTGACTAAGCACACAAGAAAAAATGCAGAGCCCTTCTATCCACCTGTTGGGGGCATTTTGGTGATGGTCATTGCAAACAGAAACTATAGGAGGGAAACATTGCACTTTGGGAATGCTGATTTCATCCTGTAGTGAAAACATGTTAATAACATGCTAATAGAGGGGGGGGGGGGGGGGGAAGCGAATGGGTTTGTAAGCTGTTCATTCTTAACAATTTTATAACTGTGTAGTGAATAGTTACCAAGTGTTTGCAGACCAGTTGGTGTCATCCATGGAGCAGTCTGCTAGTGATCACAAGGAGGTATTTGATGCAGTGATGTATACCTTTTGGGAGCAGTTTTGGCTAGCAACTGGAGAATAGTAATTTTTCCCTAGTAACTGGTGGTTGCCAGGCAGTCACCCGCTGATATGTAGGTAAGGCCCAATCACACAAGTCTAACTTCATTTGATAAGAGTGAATATCTGATGAAATTATATATAATGCCTGTCAGGGTGAAAACTTTACTATTTAAGCACCTAAACTGGAGAGTTATTGACATTATACTGTGTCTGTATTTGTATTTCATTGTGAGATATTTATGCCGGTATAATGTTCTGAGTGTGCATACTTAAATATTCACCTGAATATAGAATGCATCTGCTGTAATATTGGGTACATTTTGATAATTCTGGAATCATTGAAAATACCATATTTTGGCATACTTAACAAACACTAGTGTTTGTTTTTTTGGATGCAGCCTATGCCAAGACACATTGAAACTGTTCTGATGGCAGGTCGGGACCGAACTCTTTATTGAGGCACTTTTTTATCTTTAATTTGTTACCCATGTGTGCATTATTTTGTCTATAAAGTACTGCAAGACAACAGAAAAATAACAGAACTTTTTTTTTTGCTCTGCTGCAAACTTCATTTGGAGTTTGTTTATTAGTCTCTAAGCTGAGTATAATGGGAGACACATACTTGAGCTAGGCTAGTCCCAGCATGCAGAGCTTACGCAATAGACATCATGGGCATGGCTAATAAAGGGTATACTCCCTGCTTTGTTTTGTTTTATTTTACTTTTTCCTGTGCGCAGGTGGAAGCTAAAAATCCCTCACGCCTCACTGATAAGACAAGACGCTTCTTCATGTTTATGCGTTTGTATCTTTATTGACCTCTGTGTTTTTTTATGACTATCAAGACTGATAATCTGATTAAATGTCCTTTCCTGGTACCATCTAACTGCAAGAGAGTGGAGCAGAGAAAAGAAGTGGGTGGAGGTGGGCGGTCAGCCTGTTTTAGAAATCTGAGAAGACGGGATCTCCAAGGAGAGGGCGGTGCTGTCTTTGTCACACACAGTGATCTGGGGTGGGTGGATCGTTAGAAACACAAACATATGTTTGAACAGGAAGGCTAACAGCTAGTCTTGCTGCCTGTCCTTGAGCTGCTCCTGATAAAACAAGTGTGAGGCTGGTAAACAAGACACTCTGGCACTGCCAGATAATCAGCAGGCTCAGTTCTCAGCCTTAGGCTTGAAAAGCTGCAGTTTGATAAACTTCATATTATTTGCAGCCCTGTGATATTCTCACAAAACCCACTCCGTTACTTAGAATAATTGGGTTATTATGACAAATGAATAATATTATGAAAAACTACAGAAAATAGATTTTTTTTAAGTATTATCATAATATTTTCATGTCTGAATCTCTAAATGGCCCATATCATAGAGAGCCCTCTTTAACAGAGACCTTAGTCTTTGTCACTGTGACTTTGACCAAAAGCTGACATCTCGAAGTTGATGAGCTAATGCACCACAAGACTTCATGCAGTGCCAATACTGCCAGATAAGAACGGGAAACTGAGGTTACAATTTGCATGGGCTCACCAAAATTGGACAATAGAAGAATTGAAAACTGTTGTCTTGTCTGATGAGTGTCCATTTTTTTCTGCAGCATTTGGATGGTAGGGTCAGAATTTGATAATATCAAACCTTCTGCCTTGTATCAACAGTTCAGACTGTTGGTGGTGGTGGTATAACAGTGTGGAGGAAATTTTCTGCGCGAACTTTGGGTCCTTCATACTGACTGAGCATTATTTGAACACCACATACTACTCAACCATTCTTGCTGACCAAGTTCATACATTTATGGCCACTGTGTGCACATCTTCTGATGGCTGATTCCAGCAGGATAATTCACAGTGTCACCAAACTCAAATATTCTCAGACTTTTTGACCACAACAATTTTGCTATATCCATGTCGCCTACACATGCAACAGAGCACCTTTAAGGACAGGTTGAGTAGGTTCAGCCTGGTACTAGCAACATGTAACTAATGAAGTTGAAGGGGCCAAAAAAAAGGAAACGCAAAATGGGCAGCTATCACTGTTTTTCCGCTGAGTAAAGACTTTAATAGAATGCAAATAAAATTTTGGTAATAGGCATTTTTGGCAATTGTAGATCCTATCCTACCACTCCAGACTATCTTTGCTTTAGTTCACCAGAGATTTGGAAAGAAGCTGAGTATTAAGATTCTCAAATCCGCTGAACATACTGCACACCACAGGGTGGTAAAGAACACAGGCGCTCTGCAAGCTGTCCACTTCTTCTGTTCAGTGCATGCTTAAAACAAGCTCATTTTGTGAAATAGGGATATTTCATATAAGGCATTGACTAAGTCATGTGGAAGGGAAGGCAGCATGTAGAACAGTATTTGTTGGGTCTGTGATTTACCAACTGGGATTTTAGCATTGCAGGATCATTAAAGAAATGCTCAGATAGTTCCCAGATTTGAAATTCATTTTTAGGGATGTCCCAAACATCAAATGGATGTCATTATGCACTCAACAGGAAATTACAACTGTGTTTGCTGCCAGTACAGATCTTCTAGCCGGGCTACAGCCTGCCTATATGTTTGGGGTGTAACAATTCTCCAGTGCAGGGTTCAGTTCATAGGCTTTATGTTGGCCCACCTTTTTCTTTAAACACTTATAAAGCATATAAAGCATATCCTTTCCCATATACACATTTTTGATAGTCATACAATCTGTTTCCAGATGTTGCTTCTCCTCTGTGACTTCTCCCTCTTTGCTGTGTAATTAATTAACTAATTTTAAAGAAACTGAGCAACTTACTCAAACTAAGAAAGGTGAGTTCAGAAGAGCAACACATCAGAGGCCAGGACATATGTCTGCCAACATTCCTGTGAACAGTTATTAATTAACATCTTCTAAGTTCATCTTTGATTGTTCGCTCAGTCAGACACTCGAGAGCTGCGTGTGTTTTTTGGTGAAGAGATGACGGCATTTTACATGTTATCTTCCACAGTGTGCAACCGGTTTATGGAGCTCAGCATCCACCTCTTGATCCCCGATTGCGACGCACGTAAGTGCAGTAGGCTGCATGGTGCCGCGTCATCCCAGTTAATCCATTTTAACTTTTAATCTCAGTGTAACATGTATTTCGTAGCTGTTTCTTGCCGCAAGTGCTTGAATACAGTGCTATGAAAAAATATTTGCCCCCTTCCTAATTTCTTATAGTTTTGCATATTTGTCACACATGTTTCAGCTCCTCAGATTTTTAATATTAGACAAAGATAATGTCAAATAAATAAATACAAAAGACAGTTTGTGTTTTTATTTATTTCATTTATTAAAGGGGAAATTTTTTCTAAACCTACCTGGTCCTTTGTGAAAGAGTAAATACCAGACTTAAATAAAAGTTACCTGATGACTGAGAAAGTACTATTGTAATACCGAGAGAAGCTGCTTAGTGTACTAAACGGCTGTTTAGGGCTTTTCTCTGTTCACTGGACAGAGAAAAGTGGACAAGGAGACTTGGTGGTGCAATGAGGAAGTACGGAAAAGTATTCAAATGTTGGCAAAGAAAAGGTGGAATAGTGAAGGAGATGAAGAAAATGGACAAGTATGCTGGTAGGCTAGGCATACAGTGAAGTGACAGGTAGCAAAGAAATACTGATTTCTGTGTGAGGTTGGACACTAAGGCCAGAAAAGTCGACTTGTGTTTATTGGCTGGGCAGAGAGATTGAGCTGGAAAGGATGTGCAGCAGGTTGGGTTTATTAAGGATAGAATGGAAATGTACTTACAAATGAAGAGAATGTCTTGAGAAGAAGGAAGGAGTTCTTTGAAGAGCTGAAGAATGAGGACAGTGCAAAAGAGGAAGACAGATTGAGGACAGCTAGTGACTGATTCACTAGTTTCACTAGTGTCTTTGTGGAACGAGAGGAACTATAGAACTACATGAGGAAGTCAGGGGTGGCAGAGAAGTAAGTGAAGGTGGTGGGGGACATGTGTAAGTATAGCAAGACAGTGGGGAGGTGTGTGGTAGGAGTGATAGATGGGTTCAAGGTGGGGTTGCGAATACAGCAGGAATCAGCTTTGAGACACTTTTTGTTTGCAATAGTGATGGACAGACTGACAGATGAAGTCAGGAAAGAGTTTCCATGGACTGTGATGTTTGGAGATGACGTTGATCTGTAGTGAGAGTAGGGATCCGATGGAAGAAAGGCTGGAGAGATGGAGGTATGCACTAGAAAGGTAAAACAATGAAAGTTAGTAGCAGCAAGTGAATGAGAAACAGAATTGTTGCAAAGAGTAGGTTGTGAAGGTAGTGTAGTTTAAATATCTTGGGATGGGGCACAAAAGCGGTCAAGAAGAGAGTGTCGGGTGATTTGTGCCAGAAGGTTGCAAGTTAGAGCAAATGGGAAGATTTACAAGATGTTAGTGAGACCTCCTATGATGGTCTACAGTTTGGAGATAGTGAAACTTTTCATTGGGAGTGATCAGAACACAAGACGTAAGTATGAGAAATGAACCAAACTAAGAAATCGGAGAGGGGCCGGATACCTTTTCCACAGCACTGTATGTGTGGACTGCATGCACCAGTCCTGTGCAAGTGTGGCCAAATGTTTGCACTGGATTTTTTTCATCATCTCCTAAACCCCCCAAATGTTTTCAGTCTTAGACTGAAGAAGTCACTTGGATGAGTGACAAAACATTTCTCCCACTGAAAACTCTACGTCTAGATGAACAGAATTGACTTTTAAGGGATCTCCTTAATGATTGAACATGCATCAAGACATCATCTCCTAAAGTTGTTTTTTGGTTGGTTTCTTTCTCTTTTCTGCTTGTTTGATATTTCAATCTGTCTCCCTGCAGGTATCCCAAAGACACAAAGCCCAAGTTCAACAATATCAAGACCAAAAAAGCCTCCAGCTTTCATGAGTTTGCCCGCAGCACCAACGATGCTTGGGATATTGATGATGAGGAGGATGAAGAATTCCTTGGCACCTTCAACCCAGCTGTATCTATACCACCAGGCCTGCACACTACGTCATCCATACAGAACCAAGTAGCTACAAGATTTGATTTTTTGTCAGTCAGCAGTAAAGAAAATGAACTAGTGTGAAAAGAAAAGAGACATTCTAGTGTGTCTTTTGATTTGATATTATTTTCATCTCAGCAGCATCAAGCAGGTGACACAGAAAGTGCAGTTTCACACAGATTGGCACCACCCACGACAGAAGGTCCAAACCTTCAGGATGTGCAGGAGGAGGACACGGAGTACGAGCAAGCCAATGGCAAGGTTGTCAAGTCTAGCAGCGATGCACACCTTAACACATCTTCAGGTATGTGGTTAATATGCTGCAGCTTTAAGATCTACAGAGCAGATTATCAGGTGATTCATAGTGAAGCTAATTACAGATTTTCACAGGTGGGATTTAAGACTGCAGTTAGGGCTGGTGGGATTATAGCAAGGCCTTTAGGATGTGTCTGATGTTCGATGATATCGTCACAATTGAGTAATGCAGACGACAGAGGACTGTATACCACTTATTTATCTTACTGCTGTACAATTAATGTCTTTAGGTTTTCTTTATGTTCAAAAAATAGAACTAGAAATACTAAAATAAAGATGTATACAGGATTAGTATTACAGAGAGAGCACATGTTATTTAATAATTATCTGATCACCTCTGTGTCTCATAAGGCACATTCACACAGAATAAGTGAAATCAGTTTCTACTTCATTGATAATCTTATCCTAACCAGTGTTTCTTTCTGTGACTAGCTCTACTTGTGATGTACCAGCCCCCCAGATTTCAATCCAGTTATGTTGTTGTGATGAAATTATATAATTTATAATAAGCATTAATTAACAGTTGCAAATTCCTGTTCAGCGTCTTTACCATTAATATCTCTAAGTGCTTTCTTTTAAGAGCCTATGAGGGAAGTACAGTGTTTAATTACCGTTAGTGTGCCTGGATTTAAGTTGTAAAATCTCTTGCAACCCCTCGATATTAGGGTTGATTTTAAACAGTTTGTCATGTGTGAATTCAATAATTAACAAGATCGAGTACAGGGAAAATTTATGCAAAACTTCACAACACTTTTTACAGAACGCCAGGTTACAGTGAGGCAAAAAAGTATTTAGTCAGCCACCGATTGTGCAAGTTCCCCCACCTAAAATGATGACAGAGGTCAGTAATTTGCACCAGAGGTACACTTCAACTGTGAGAGACAGAATGTGGAAAAAAAATCCATGAATCCACATGGTAGGATTTGTAAAGAATTTATTCGTAAATCAGGGTGGAAAATAAGTATTTGGTCAATAACAAAAATACAACTCAATACTTCGTAACATAACCTTTGTTGGCAATAACAGAGGTCAAACGTTTACTATAGGTCTTTACCAGGTTTGCACACACAGTAGCTGGTATTTTGGCCCATTCCTCCATGCAGATCTTCTCGAGAGCAGTGATGTTTTGGGGCTGTCGCCGAGCAACACGGACTTTCAACTCCCGCCACAGATTTTCTATGGGGTTGAGGTCTGGAGACTGGCTAGGCCACTCCAGGACTTTCAAATGCTTCTTACGGAGCCACTCCTTTGTTGCCCGGGCGGTGTGTTTTGGATCATTGTCATGTTGGAAGACCCAGCCTCGTTTCATCTTCAAAGTTCTCACTGATGGAAGGAGTTTTTGGCTCAAAATCTCACGATACATGGCCCCATTCATTCTGTCCTTAACACGGATCAGTCGTCCTGTCCCCTTGGCAGAAAAACAGCCCCATAGCATGATGTTTCCACCCCCATGCTTCACAGTAGGTATGGTGTTCTTGGGATGCAACTCAGTATTCTTCTTCCTCCAAACACGACGAGTTGAGTTTATACCAAAAAGTTCTACTTTGGTTTCATCTGACCACATGACATTCTCCCAATCCTCTGCTGTATCATCCATGTGCTCTCTGGCAAACTTCAGACGGGCCTGGACATGCACTGGCTTCAGCAGCGGAACACGTCTGGCACCGCGGGATTTGATTCCCTGCCGTTGTAGTGTGTTACTGATAGTGACCTTTGTTACTTTGGTCCCAGCTCTCTGCAGCTCATTCACCAGGTCCCCCCATGTGGTTCTGGGATCTTTGCTCACCGTTCTCATGATCATTTTGACCCCACGGGATGAGATCTTGCGTGGAGCCCCAGATCGAGGGAGATTATCAGTGGTCTTGTGTCTTCCATTTTCTGATGATTGCTCCCACAGTTGATTTTTTTCACACCAAGCTGCTTGCCTATTGTAGATTCACTCTTCCCAGTCTGGTGCAGGTCTACAATACTTTTCCTGGTGTCCTTCGAAAGCTCTTTGGTCTTGGCCATGGCGGAGTTTGGAGTCTGACTGTTTGCGGCTGTGGACAGGTGTCTTTTATACAGATGATGAGTTCAAACAGGTGCCATTCATACAGGTAACGAGTGGGGGACAGAAAAACTTCTTACAGAAGACGTTACAGGTCTGTGAGAGCGAGAGATTTTCCTTGTTTGAGGTGACCAAATACTTATTTTCCACCCTAATTTACGAATAAATTCTTTACAAATCCTACCATGTGAATTCATGGATTTTTTTTTCACATTCTGTCTCTCACAGTTGAAGTGTACCTCTGGTGCAAATTACTGACCTCTGTCATCATTTTAAGTGGGGGAACTTGCACAATCGGTGGCTGACTAAATACTTTTTTGCCCCACTGTATATGTACCCAACCTAAGTACCTTATTTATCAAAAATGCTTGGGGGAACATTTTATTCTTACAATACTGAGATAAGATGGACCTATGCAGCATAAAATGTCAGTCCCTCTTCTTCAGACTTCTTCAGACAGAGTCCAAAATATTTTGGGAGTCAGTCTGCCAAAAGAATATCCTTTCATTATCCACCTTTAAGAAAACCAAAGTTTAATGGAGGCCTTTAATTCAGTAGATTTGTCAGTTTCACCAAACAGCGTACAGCAGGAATCCCTGTGAGTCACTCAGGCTGTAGACTGCTCCAAACACTCAGTTTCAGACTATTTTTTCTGCTATTGTCTCTGTTTAATATCACTGAGATTATCTTACATGTTCACCTTGGACAAACAGATCTGATTGTCAGCACAGAAGTCCCACCCAACCGCTTTTCAAACAAGTTTGGATTGGCACTCAGTCAGAAGACTGTTGTCTCAAAGGGTAGGGGGAAGAGAACTGAAATAGCTGAAAGAACTGATGGGCTGCACCAAGGACCCGTTTTTGATAAACAAGGATTATTTTGAACTGTGAGTCTGAACTAATAGAATAAAGACTAAAAATATGGATTGGAAAATAAGCATAAGAAATCCCCTTTCATAGCTTAAGTTATGAAATAACTGTCATCAAGTTCGACACTAGAAATTAATAAGAAAAGTTTCTTTTTCTTTTTGAAGTTCTGCACATGAATGAAAAGAACTCCCATCTGCAAATGTCTTATATGTGACAGGATGAAAGATCAAAGCCAGATGTAATTGTAGGACTGTGTGAATAATGAAAAATTATACATGGTAAACAGGTTTCATTAATCCTCAATTAGCTTTACCCTCAGCTTTATGAGCAGGATCACTGTTTCAAATCTAGTGGCTTTTCATATGATGAATAGTCAGCTGAATCTTTATTCATAAGTCATCTAGTTTCTGAATATTCACATTGTTGACTGGTCTCCCACTAGCCTTTCTTAGACTACGTCCACACTAGCCCGGATAGATTTGAAAACGGCGTTTTGGTCTGAAAACGCTCTGCGTCCACACTAGCGTTTTCAGTCGTTTTCACAGAGTTGTGCGTCCACATTGAAAGGCCAAGAACGCTTACATTCCAGTCCTGCACATGTGCAAAAGTGAGTGAGAATTAAGGAATTTGAAGAAAAGCTATCTGGAGCATGTACAAACTGATATTAATCTTTTTTAGGGCTGTCAAAATTTAGAGCAATCAAAACAACTGCTGTATAATGCACTCCCCAATCCTTGTTAAATTGGTCACATGACTGCATCACATGACTAAAATGCGTCATCGTTTTAGAAAGTCTGCGTTTTCGAGAGTCCACACTGCGACGGGGCAGCTCCATTTTGAAATGTATGCGTTTTCAAGGGCGTTTTCAAAACGCTGCGTTTTTCCTTGGTGAAAGCGCTGTCTCAGTGTGGACGGGAGGACAAACCGGAGAGAAAACGATGTGTTTTCAAACGAAAACCCATTAGTGTGGATGTAGCCTTAGCCAGTAGTAGGGCTGCCACGATTAGTCGACTAGTCACGATTACGTCGACTATCAAAATCGTCGACGACTGATTTAATAGTCGACGCGTCGTTTGAAGCTTTGTAAGATCCCAAAAGACGCAGGAATAAGTAGTAGGATTTAAGAGTGTAATAACGGACTGAAACAGAAGATGGCGGCACTGCATGTACAAGGATGCCAGCTGCTGTTAAACCCTGAAGAAGAAGAAGCTGCGTCCCAGAGTTCATAGCGTGGCCCTGCTCAGTTTTCAACAATGGCGGCAGCTAGTTAGTTTTAGTATTACGCTTATTATTCTTTCTGGGTCACAAAATAAACGTTTAAGATATTCTCAGGCGAGAATGTAGCTGTGTAAACCTCAAATATCTGCTCAGTTTATCAAGACATATTTTCAAAAGCGCTCCGACGTTTTCGGAGACGTCTGTTACCCACCAGCTCAATAGCTAACGGGTTCAAGGCTCACTAGAGCCCGTGAGAACACCGGACTCCCGGCAAATCGTTTTCAAACCCACCGCCGTCTTTCGCTACTCAGGTTAAACATGATATATGAGTCACTTAGATAACTTAAAAATGTTATTGTTTGGCTTTTTTTTAGTATTTTATTTGTTCCTGAATGAATCGGTTTGGCTGAGATTAAAGTTACAGTTTTTACACAGCTGAATAAACCTCAAGCAGACAGCTGATTATCAGAAGTGTGAGATGCTCGAGAATATACTCTGGTGTCCTGTTATATTTTAGATAGCAAGGAGCAGACGGCTGAGTTTATTAAACTTCACTGAAACAATCTGCAAATTTCATTAAAATTTAATGAATTTTAATCTTGCCTTTATTTTTAGCTAGCACATACCTTAAACACTTAAGCTAATGATAGTTATATTAAGAGCAGATGCATGCTGGTGCAATAAGCTGTATGTTTTATGTCCAATGAATGCATGATCTGATTAGTCGACTAATCGCAAAAATAATCGGTGACTAGTCGACTATCAAAATAATCGTTTGTAGCCAGTAGTCAACACTTCAGCTAATTTAATCCTATTAAACTGCCTTTATGTGTTTACAAAGTCACAACACTGACTGTCTTCCACCTACAATCCAGTTTTGAGATCCCTTCCCAGGCACCTTAGCCCCCACTCACATCAGGTGAGGTCACATGATAGGGTGAGGCAAGGTCTCCCAATGGTTTCACCCGAAACCTCTGCTGGTAATGACCTGTGCCTTTTTTGGTGAGGCACAGGATCAATAGTAGGTCAACAACTCCCACCAAGGAATAAATACCTGACCACAGAAATAAATATGGCAACAAAGTAAGAAAATAATTGCATAGCTTAAGGAGATTGTTGTAAAGTAATATGCATCTCTTTAGCTTTACTTGTTTAATTTAAGATTAATTGCATTTGAAAAATATTTGAACCTTTTTATTGTTCCTTTAATATCGTGGCTCTTGCTTGTTTTCATTCTCCATTGTAAAGTTGCCTCTTGTTTTTAATCCGTGTGCTCCTTATGCAGTTCGCTCCACACTGCAGAAGCAGCAGTCTCTCCCAGTTCGTCCCATCATCCCACTGGTGGCTCGCATCTCGGACCAGAATGCATCAGGGGCACCACCGATGACAGTGCGGGAGAAAAGCCGGCTTGACAAATTCAGGCAGCTACTGGCTAGTCCCAACACTGACCTAGGTACAGCAACAGAAGCAGCTTTTCCCTTATATTGGGATGTGCTAAAGGACTGATCGTTGCAGGAAGGCCGTGCCTTTTGTTGAATCAGAAGATAGCTACCTAATAATTTACAGTACCATACACCAGTAAGGAAACAGATTATTGACATGCAAGTATAATATGCAGGCATCCTGAATAGAAATTCTGTTTTTTTATGTATAAAACAGATTCTAAGATTATTTCAATACAACAATATGAACAAAAAATGTGACGTATTACACTGTGTCATTTTTTTTTTTACAAAAACTGAGCCAAAAAGTAGACGCAGTGTGTGGAAAAACGAAGTACAGCCCATGATTTAGTAGCTTGTAGAAGTACTTTTAGCAGCAATCAATCAGTAATCAATCAGCTATATCTGACACTTCTCATATTGCTGACTGAGCAACTTTGGCCCACTCTTCTTTACAACAAGGTTGAGGTCTGGACTTTGAAAAAGGAAATGATCAGCGTGTTGCAATGGCCCATTTATCCATTATGTTGTAAATTAACTGGTCAGGGAAGTTTCAGTTTCAACCTTGGGGTTAATTTGCTGAGATTGGAAGTTGTCTTGAATGTTTTCCACTTGCGAGTGATCATTCTTGCTGTAGAATGATGGACTTCGATAGTTTGGAAATGGCCTTATAACCCTTCCCAGACTGATAAGCAGCAGCAATTGCACCTCTAAGATCAGTGCCGATGTCTTTTCTGTGTGATTGGAACAAGCAAACTGTCAAAACTTCTGCTTTTATAGAGGTGCTCACACTTGCTGAAAATCAATAAATTAGGATCATTTGATTTGATTAATTTGACATTTTTGTGGTCTAATTGAGAGGTCTGTGAAGGTTCTCAGTCATCCAGGTCATCGGAGTCTAAGTACCTTGGAAAGAAGGGTGTCTGGACTTCTTTAAGGTTCCTTCTCATCCGAGAAGCTTCTTCAGTTCTTCAGTTCTTCAGCGCAATTGGTGGAGAGTTCCGGATTTTACACCCGTTTTCACACCTTAGCTCATGTGATTATGATAGGGGGTCCATGACCCTCTCGGGGACACTCCCATAGGGCTTAAAATCTGGGACTGTCCACCGTTTGACCTTAGAACTGAAGAAGCTTCTCAAATGAGAGGTGAAATGTCTTCAAGCTACTTAAAGAAGTCCAGACGCTTTTCTTTCCAAGCTCCGTAGACTCTACTTACAAGAGTCTATGTAAGCCTTTATATATTTCTATATGTTTTTGGTAGAGCAGAGAAATTTCTTTCATTACCCATACAAGATCCAAAATTTACAAATTAACTATAATCCTCAATGCAGCTCAAAGGAAAGGTCAGTGATCTCTTAAATGTAATTCAAATAAACATTGCCCATGAAGACATCTATGTAACAACTTAAATGATAAGCAATTCAAATTCAGCTTTTAAAAAGTAATTGCTGGATGTTGATTTTGTAAACACTGAGGACATAGAGAGGACATTGTTCAGCTTGTAATTTTGTTAACTATCACTAGATGAAAACAACCAGGATCTGGGTATTTACACACAGTGTGAGCTCCAGTTGATTCACCCGTGTTCAAATAAAATGGAAACTCTGGCTGCACAGTAAGCCTGATTTTAACTCAAATGTGTAGTGTGAGTTAACATGTCATACATATTTAATAAAATTGGCACAGTATCTCACCAGCTTTTAAGAGGAACTGCTGGCGTGCTGTAACTGTTGCACTGCTAAAAATCTTTAGGCTGTAGCTAGGAACATTGTAAGACTGGTCCTCAAAGATTTCTGAAATGAAATATCTGTGAGTTAGATCGCACTTTGAAAGAACTGCACTTCACAATGCCTCTCGTGTGCTGAGACTTTCTTCTAAAAGACTTTGGTTGTGTTTGTGCTTTAGAAGTTAGATTTTTCTGTAGACGTGTATTTTTCAGGTTGTAGCCATTTTCTTTTAATGTCTTTTCTGTCATCAGTGCTCAACATGATAATGATTTCACTTATCGTACTGGAATGTCAAGCTAAAGAATAGACTGCAAAACTTTATGAGCTTGTCACCAGAAAGAAATGGATCCAGAATATGTGGTACGGGTTTGTCTGAAAGAACCCACACAGCCTTCAGTTTAATAAACATGTTAACACAAGTAATGAAGGACTTGGATGAGATTTTTTCACCAAAAGAACTCTCTTTTGTAAAGCTGAACATCACATTTTTTCTATTAAACTGATTTTACAGCTTTATTTTTCTATTGCATGGGTGACTCGTCACTAGTTGTGTAGGTTGTGCTGATCTCTGCTCTGGTTTCTATGTAGCATTGACAGTGCTTGTTTCTATCTTGCTCTGTGCTGTTACAGAAGACCTCCGCAAGCACAGCTGGTCAGGCATACCAAGAGAAGTCCGGCCAATCACATGGAGACTTCTTTCTGTAAGGCTGTGACCTTCAGTTTTGCAAAAGCACATTTTTCTCAGCATTTAATAATCCAAAGCATTCTGTCTCAATAGCTCAATTTTTTTTATTCTTTTTGTTTGATTCGTAAAAATTTTCAGATAATGCTAAAAGCTTTATCTTTACAGCGGCACATATCTCAAGTGTTCTCTCGTCTTATCTAATGGTCAGCCTGTTCTGTTCCTCTGAAATTGTTCGGCTAATCAAAAAAGGGTTGTTTTTTTCTGTATCTTAACCTTTCTAATGGCTCGTTCAGGGCTACCTGCCAGCCAACAAGGAACGCAGAGAACTGGTGTTGAAAAGGAAGCGAGAGGAATATTTCAGGTTCATAGAGCAGTATTACCACTCCAGAACAGACGAGCACTATAAAGACACATACAGACAGGTGATGCTGCAGCTGAAATACAAAAAAAGAGATGTAGTTTATGTATGTAAAAGATCCATGACCTAACATGTCAACATTTGTTCCTGTCAGATCCACATTGACATTCCAAGAACAAATCCTCTGATTCCCTTGTTTCAGCAGCCTGCAGTACAAGAGGTAAGATTACTGAAAAGCAGCTCCAATATCTCAGTTGTTTCTCCAAAGTACACGTGTCTCGTTTTCTATGTTCATGATGAGCGTCGGAATACCGACATTATTTTAATGTTTGGTTGGTTCGTTTCTCCAGTTTAGAGTGAACCAGGGACTTGTTTTTGTTTTGGAGATAGTGGCTCTAGCTAATTCTTGGTTCAGTTCAGCGTTTCCACTATTACAAAATGTTTAAGTGGTACATCACAACAGATTGTCCTATGTTGAGATTATATTAATAGCTAAGCCCCTAGTATGAGTTACTGCTTTTATAAGACATGTAATGTGAGGCTTTGCTTTGTTGCTGGCATCATTGGAAGTTCTGGATTTTTTGTTTTCTTTCAATTTTATCCTCCCACTGATTTCATTTGTGTCCTCTCAAAGTTGACATTAGTTTGTCAGAAACCCACCTACTCTCGCCAGTGGTTAACTCGCCTTTCATTGTCATGGCAGATATTGAATTTTATTGGCATTATGGTCTCTGGTCACAATAACAATATGTTGCACATTCCACTTTGAATTCCTTATGAATATGTTATTAAAAATGTTTAAAGTCTTGCTCTTATGGAGAAACAGGCAGGGTCTCCTGGCTGGCTGCACAGGGACTATGTATACTATACAAGATTTTATTTTATTTTTTTTATTCTATTAGTGCAGATCAGCAGGGAACATAGCAACTGGTCAATCTTTTTTACAAAGTCAGATTCTGCATGGAGAAAAATGTTTTCTGGAGGAAGATAAATCCATGAAGGGAACTCACCTTTTGAGAAGTCATATTTTACTTTACTGAAAAACTAATTTGGGATAATGAAGTTTTTCATTGTCTTTATTTGTGTGTGCTGATATACAGCATATCATCTTAATTTGCTCAAAAAGTTAACATTCCAGCTTTGTTCTGTGGCTGGACTCATTGTGAAAAGCATTGACAACACTGTAAGTGATACAGGGTTGTATAGTGTGGTGTATTTGCCTGTCATTGAGGAAGAAGCTTCATCAGATTAGTACACTCCAGAGGAAGTTAGTTGTTAAAAAGGAAATGCACTGAGCCCAGCCTGTTCCTCAAAGGAAGTGATTTTTAGTGGCTTTGCAAAACAACCAAGATATTACACATGACAATAATTATTTCTGAATATTCAGGACAAACATGTATTTGCATTAATGGTAAAATGTACAGCCTCTGTCAACTCTTAAGGATTTACATACGTTCGTGTTCCTTTTAAATACCTCCAAACTTGACATCCGAGAAAGAATCTAAGTCTCGCCCAGCACTCAACCGTTACTGATCCCGATCTCAACATAATGTTACAGCCTACTGATATCCAGAGCCTTCATCTACACTAAATGCCACGCCACAAAGAAGCTCCTTTGGTAAGCCTTGCCAGAGTAATGGCTGAGACTTTCCCCAAGGTCTTCATAATCCTCCACCAAGGATGTGTTGGTTAGGTCTCAAGTCCAAGATAGCAGAACACATCCCGAGGGAAGCCTTCCTGTCCTTCCTTTTCCTTACTTGGTTTGCCAGAACCTGAACTCTTTGAGACCAGTTGACAACCTCCTCTGTAAACTCCCTGAGCTCTTCAGTTTTTTGTCCTTACAGCTGCTCAAATCTCATGACAACACCTGTCAAATAAAAATATTTTGCTTTTCTTTATGTTTGTGATACTGTTCATATTGTACATTGAAATGCTGTCACATAATATTGTGAAATTAGGGTTAGAAAATAAAAGTCTTTCTTGGGGTACTTTTGACCACCAGTGTACATGTACTTTATCAGTAGTTAATGTGCTGTAGGATAGTCTTATTAACACAGTTAGTTTCAAGAATATTGCCCACACTACCCAGGTATAAGGATTAGACATACCAGTCATGTTGTGGCACCTCAGTTAATGTACACAACAGTTTCAACAGTCTGTAAAACACACTTCAAAGCATTCATGCTATTTTTTACAGACGCTTATATGTGTCTACAGACATAAGACTGAAAATGTGGACAGGAATCAAAAGAAAAAAAGACTTCCACGCTGGAGCTGAACATTAGCAGTAATTCTCCTTGTTTCCTCAGATTTTTGAGCGAATTCTCTTTATCTGGGCCATCCGTCACCCAGCCAGCGGTTACGTTCAAGGAATCAACGATCTGGTCACACCTTTTTTTGTTGTCTTCCTGTCAGAGTTTGTCAGTAAGTTACACGTTGAATCGGGGGGAAAAAAACATTTGGTTTGTTCTTTTTCTAGTTAGGTTATATATTGAATGACAACAATTTTAAATTTCTTCATCAAAGCTCAGCTCACATCAGAGAAGACTTGATATGAGTCATCAGTCTCAGTCAGTGTTATTTGTTTTTCCAGCGGAGGATATGGAGAACTTTGACGTAGCAGCACTACCTCTGGAAACTCAGAGAAATATTGAAGCTGACAGTTTCTGGTGCATGAGCAAGCTGCTGGATGGAATACAGGTCAGGACACAATCTCAATCAGTGCTAATTTAAAACTAGTAAGCAACTTTATTGAAATGTATTTCTTTTCAGGACAACTACACCTTTGCTCAGCCTGGAATTCAGAACAAAGTGAAAGCTTTAGAGGAGCTAGTCAGCAGGATAGATGGTACGTGGACAAGCTTATGCTTAGGGAAACCTGTTTCCACAAGCTAACAGCAGGAGACCCAGTTTTAACAGGTGTGTGTATCTGTGTCTGTTGCCAGAGGACATTCACAATCATTTCAAGAGGTATGAAGTGGAGTACCTGCAGTTTGCTTTCCGGTGGATGAACAATCTTCTGATGAGGGAGTTACCACTCCGCTGCACTATCCGTCTCTGGGACACCTACCAGGTAAGGCAGGGTGTCCACCATTATCTGAGCTTTTATGAGCAATGAACACGAGTCACAGCTGTCTCAGACAATTTGCTGCTGTTTCAGTCAGTGTGTCTGCATCTGTAGTGCAGCTTATTTTATGCTCTGTGGGTCAAGATGAAGAAATTTCATGAAATCTTGTGATGTGCATCTGAGATCTCTGATGGCCCCATTATACTTACCACACTGGTCACTTTGCGTGTCACTGGTGACATCATCACATGGCTATATCCCTTTATGCTGACCGTTACAGCACAGGTACTCGCTGCAGTATTCTCCTGAATGATAAGTGTCACAACTCAAACAAATCCTGCACATCAGTGCTGGTGTAGGAGAAGTTGTCAAAACGGGACGCAAATGAATTGCTTTGAAAAGTTTTTTTTTTTTTTTAAAGTCATATTTTCAAACTGTTGCATCATCTCCTCTGTATAATCTATAAATCTCTGAGCATCTGTGTCATAATCACAGTAACAATCGACACAATCCTCCTGTCTTCATTTAGCACGCCAGGTTACAAAAATCTTGAGTGCATCACCAACAGAAATGACAGATTCCAATTTGCCTGGCATGAGACAGTGGGTATAATGGGGCCCTGATAGACTGTAAAACTATTCAAGCTCATTAGTCCAACATGTGTGGCATTATACATCTTATAATTACAAAATGGGTATAGGACTGTTACAAAAGAAAATACCTGAAAGGTGATTTTACACATTCACATTTTTTACCAGATTAGATGCCACATACTAAATTGTTATAGCCACTACCAGTTTTATTAATGTACCAGTTTTGGCTTTTAATCAAAAGTTTTGATGGTGAGGTTAATTTTGCACACTGCACTCCCCTCCAGAAGTGAGCAGCAAGTCAGCATGGATCACATGAACATTAATTGAGGATGCAGAGAGTTACAAGGACTTGTGTGGTTCCAGGCACCTTTATTGTTCCATTGGTGATAAACAGTACACTGATGACAACAATGGAAATCTGTTATCCTACAAAGTAGTTAATGCACTTATGACTGGTGGAGAATAGTTCAAATAAAGACAGCATACTCTCTTTTGGAAATCATGTTAGAAAACTGGACATGATAGCCAAGGGGTGGATGTGACTAAGAATCCAAGAGACACTGCACACTCAAAATGAATCACCAAAGTAGTCATACATCAAAGCATTCTTATATTTTACACCAAATGATGATTTAATAAATTAACCCCGTGACATCTTAAACAAGACTTGAAACTAGCGATAGAACTTGTAAGTCTCCTTCCTCCTCCTCATCCCCAACCGGTCACAGCAGATGGATGCCCCTCCATGAGACTGGTTCTTCCTGTTAGCAGGGAGTTTTTCCTTCACACAGGAGGTTGTCTGATTGTTGGGGGTTTCCCTGTATTATTGTAGGGTCTTTACCTTACAATATTAAGTGAATTGAGTGTGACTGTTTTGGTGATTTGAGGCTATACATATAAAACTGAATTGAATAAACCCCTCAGAAATGTGTTCATTGAGGTCGAAGATAAAGTGAAAAGTAACATTTTTCCCTCACAGAATTCTGTACAAGGACTCTTCTTTTGGCAGTCAAAGGAGTTGCCTCTTTCTGAACATTAGAAAGAATGCCGTTTTCAATCACTCACAATAATTTAACCTTTGTGTATGTCAGTGGTTGCAATATTTGGTCTGTTACACAATATTTGTAAGTCATTAGACAAATCTTTTCTTGATTGAAGCTGATTTGTATAATTGGCTACCATTATTCTGTTTTCCACAGGCTGAAGCAGAGGGTTTTTCCCGCTTCCACTTGTACGTCTGTGCTGCTTTCCTCATTAAGTGGCGCAAAGAAATCCTGTCCATGGTTGACTTTCAGGTACATTTGTCTATGTCATCCAGTCACGGCAGAGAAACTAATATGACCCATTTAAGGCAGACTGGCGGACAAGGGCGGAGTCTTCTGAGTTAAAATTAATCAACTTTACTTTGTAAAAGTTTAAATCACATCATTTGTAGTTCTTCTTCAATTTTGATGCTGGTCTAACTTGTTTTCGATCAATCATAAGATAGCCACTTCCTGCATCATATCCTGCTTTTATGTGTATTTTACTCTTAATGGTAGCATAATTTATTACCAAATAAATCTGCTGCAATTGGTAAGACTTGAAACTAGTGACTAAGATGATGAACTAGAGCACAGGTGTCGAACTCCAGGCCTCGAGGGCTGGTATCCTGCAGGTTTTAGATGTGTCCTTGATCCAACACAGCTGATTTAAATGGCTAAATGACCTCCTCAACATGTCTTGAAGTTCTCCAGAAGCCTGGTAATGAACTAATCATTTCATTCAGGTATGTTGACCCACGGTGATATCTAAAACCTGCAGGACACCGGCCCTCGAGGCCTGGATTTCGACACCCCTGAACTAGAGCAAGGGGGCAGTAGGTTTAAATACTGTAATTTGATTTCCTTTTCTTTCATCCTTCTAAACATCAACATGTCAGTGTAATCATTTATTTACGGAGCCCCGCAGGGGACATGGGAGAAAAAAAAATTAAGTTTGTTTTGCGAGTTTATTTTGCGAGATCTCGCAAAGGTTTTAGCCGCATTCTTCGGAGGCCGTCAGCTCGAAGCCGACCGGGAGGTCGAGGCACAATGTGCCGGGAAAGCGGTGTTCCTCCTGGCTATAGTAGGTCTCGACCTCCCGTTAGCTTCGAGATAGTGGGTGTCAGATCTCCGAAAACGTCGGAGCACTTTTGCAAATATGTGATGTCTTGTAAACCGAGCAGGTATCTGACGTTTACACAACTACATTCACGCCTCAAAATATCTTAATAGTGTATTTTGTGACCCAGAAAGAGTAATATTACAACTAAGTAGCTGCCGCCATTGTTGGAATTCAACTTTTGCGAGATCCCGAGTTTGTTTTGCAAGATCTTGCAATAGTTTTGCGAGATCCCAAGTTTGTTTTGCGAGATCTCGCAAAAGTTTTGTGAGATCCCAAGTTTGTTTTGCGAGATCTCGCAAAAGTTTTGTGAGATCCCGAGTTTGTTTGTTTGTTTGTTGTTTGTTTCGCAAAAGTCCGTCTTAATTTTTTTTTCTCCCATGTCCCCTGCGGGGCTCCGTATTTATTTGATCACCAGAAAATAAAAGTGTTGCTTGTAGTTTTGTAGTAGGTTTACCAACCAAGTATGCATGTACATCTGCTAAGTTTTATATGCTAACCCATATGTTATGTTTGACAATGAAAGGCTTTGTATCTCCAACTTTCAAAACACTGAGTGTCTTAAGGACTCTCTCTTGCTCTTTAGGGTCTCCTCATGCTACTGCAGAACCTTCCTACAATCCACTGGGGGAATGAAGAAGTCGGTCTCCTCCTGGCTGAAGCTTACAGGCTCAAATACATGTTTGCAGATGCTCCCAGCCACTACAAGAGATAAGCCCAATGCTTCCGCACCAGGGAAAATGCTGCATTTTGACTTTTAAAAATCAATTTAAACCTTGAGTGGGCAACTTCGGTGTCTGTGATGCACATCAGGTGCTGTCTCTGAGGTAACGTAAAAGAGACTGACGGGATGTTATGTCAGTGATATCAACTTTATCCTGTGAAAATGAAGTCCAGTGAATATTAAGTGGATTTGGGGCTTACATTGCACACAGCTCAGTGAATATGGGACTATTTTGCAGGCAGTGTTGCACTGCAACGGTGGACTGTGACAGTATAAAAAACAACTCGACTATGCCACTCTGGTTTACTTATACTGTTTTTGGTCATCTCTTATGTTCACTGTAAGCGTGAAAGAAGACACTGTAATATAGTGGGATGATGAATGTTTGTGAGATCATCCTTTTAGTGAGAAATGGTATCTAAAGATTATATTTTTTGCATTTTTTGTTTTACAAGGGACAATATTGGGTATAAAGCAGGCAACTGGAATACAAAGCTTAGTTTTACATTGTCTGGCTGTCAGTCCCCTTTCTTTGTTAAATAGATGCTTTTTGGTTTAACCAAAATCGCTCTGTACGATCAGCATCTTTAAAGCCGCGACTGATAATCTGGGTTGTAATTAGTAAGTATTACCTATGAGTAGCAAATAGAAGGTATTGTATTTCATTTTTTAGGTTGTGTTTGGGGTGTAAAGCAAAAAGACTGATTTGGTATCAATATCACTTTTAATTTCTAAATCACTGTGAAGAACGGAGGTATAGTTTGGAAATAACAACAACTGTAAAGTTAGAGTTTTATTTAAAAATCTAAACTTAGCACTGTTCAGATCTTTCCTGAACCTGAACTGTGCTAAATTAATTCAGTAGCTGCTTAAAATTGTAGTAAAGTTTATACAATTGTGATCCAGTTTTTGATGAAGATTGCAGATTGACACACTGCATCAACACTCAAAAGTCAGCCAGCTTGTCAGTTTTGGCCTGAGGGTGGAGGTTTTACCCGAAGTGTTTCAAGAGATACCTGTCAGTGTAAAATCTGTGCATAATTACAAGTGATGAAAAACATTCATTAACATCAGTTATACAGAATATTTACAATCAGTATGTTTTAATTGGAGGAAATGCCTGTGTTGGTATTGAAAGTCATTATGCTATCTGAATGCAGCTCCACATCCCTGACAATACCCTATAGAGCATTGGTAAGGTACACATACAGTGTAACGCTTTCCTGACATGCTCCATGAAACTTTATTTGTGCAACAGTGTTTTTCTTCTTTCTTTTTTCTTCTTTCTTTTTTTTTTTAAAATATGATTGTGTGCGTTACAACTCATCTACCTTCATTGCCAGTGATAATAATAGTGCAACATATGTTTGAAAGGTATGACAACACTCTTATACTTTGTGCATCTAATAGAAAGAAAATCAATCTAAGTTGGGTCATCTGCTTCACTCTTTAACCTGATTCATTCTGGACCAAAGTCTCTGTTGGAAAGTTGTGACGCCCAGCAGATGGATGCCACCGTCATCACCATAGATCACAGCAGACTGAATGGAGCAACATTGTTCACGAGTCTTAATCCATTTCGACTATAACTGGAGTTCTGAGCTACTTAATGGCATTTTATTCAGTGAAGTGCTACTGAAGACATGATGGTGAAATAGATTCTCCTTTATTTATGAAGGAACACCAGTCTTGTCCACTATTTATCAGTCATCAGATTTCCATAATCAATCTTCATCTACCACCTTGAATGTTTTTTGGAGTTTTACAGTATGCGTGTAGCCTTAAAGTCACTTTCATTCATTCAGGTGAGCCGCATGATTGTCATTACTGTGACTCCATTCTGGGTTTTGTGTTTGTTTGTTTGTTTGTTTGTTTGTTTGTTTGTTTGTTTGTTTGTTTTAATTTAAAGGTCATTCTGTTAAAAAATGTGATGTTAATAACTAAAGACTAACAAAATGTTTTTTTTCCATGCAGCTACAACAACAAATCCAATCTTTATTGGAACAGTACAGCCTGTTTTACAGAGTGCTTCACTAGTCAATGCTGGCTTCAGCCTTAAATGAAGACTTGTTAAATTATTACAGTCTCAGCTGTATATTCACCTTTTCTGATGATATTAAACAAACAACATGTGTGTACATGGATTGGGTTGATATATTATTTTATAGCACCATTTAAAGCACGCAATTCCAACGTGCTTCACATTTATGATGAAATCTATGTGAGGAAAAATTATACAAGCACATATAGTGATGTGAAAAAGTATTTGCTGTCTTCCTGGTTTGTTTGTTTTTTGGGGGGGGGCATTCAAAGTGGTTTTTGCTACAGCAGGTCATTCACCCAATCACACACACATTCATATAAACTTAACAAAAAAATTGTATATGAATGTAGTAAAAACCACTTTGACATAAAAATATTACATCATTTCATAAGAAGAACGTCATCCCAGCCATCATCAACTCAACTGTAATTGATGGAACCATGAATTCAAATTCAAATTTTTTATTTGTCACGTACACAGTCATACACAGTACGATATGTAGTGAAATGCTTGGACAACTGCTCGTGACCTAAAGAAAACAAAAAAGGAAAAGGCTATGAATAAGAAAGGAAATAAATATGAAAAATTAAAAAGGGTAAATTTAACTAGGAAGGAATAAAATATAAATTAAGGTTAAAAATGAAATAACTGTACAACACAAATTAGAATGAAGGGTAAATTTAACTGGGAAGAATAAGATAAAGATAAATATATAAATTAAAGTTGAAAATAAAATAACTGTACAACAAAATACACAATACACAATATAGAACTATATAAGAATGTATGAAGAAATCTAAATATAAATAAATATATACACAGTAACAGCAGCTGTACAAGTATTAACCGGAAATGAAGAATATAGTGACCAGTGTTGTGCAAAACCAAAGTCCAGAAAGTCCAGTGTGTGTGTGTGTAAGAACCATATGTGTGGGTCAGTACTGTGTGGTGGTGTGATTGAGAGACCGTATCGCCTGCGGGAAGAAGCTCCTCCTCAGTCTCTCTGTGTTGGTCTTCAGGGAGCGGAATCGCTTTCCTGACCTCAACAGAGAGAACAGTCTGTTGTTGGGATGGCTGAGGTCCTTCACGATCTTCCTGGCCTTGGTCCAGCACCGCCTGCTGTAGATTGAGTGCAGGTCAGGGAGCTCGGAGCGGATGGTGCGCTCAGCTGACCGCACAACCCTCTGTAGAGCTCGTCTGTCCTGCATGGTGCTGTTCCCGAACCAGGTTAAGATGTTTCCCGCCAGGATGCTCTCTATGGTGCACGAGTAAAAGTTCCTGAGCACCTTGGAGGGCAGTTGGAAGTCTCTCAAGCGTCTGAGGTGGTAGAGATGCTGTCGGGCCTTTTTCACCACGGTGTTGATGTGACAGGACCATGACAGGTCCTGCGTGATGTGAACTCCGAGGTATTTGAAGCTGTCCACTCTCTCCACTGGGCACTCGTTGATGACGGGGGTCTGGTAGTTCCTCTCCTGCTTAGTGCTGAAGTCCACTATCAGCTCCTTTGTCTTACTGACGTTTAGAAGGAGGTTGTTCCTCTGGCACCAGTTCTCCAGATTCCTAATCTCCTTCAGGTAGGCCGTCTCGTTGTTATCAGAGATCAGGCCCACCACGACGGTGTCGTCTGCTGAATTTTGCTCTCTACCCGAAAGAATGAATTTCTCACCGTCTGTTCATGCCCTGAAGCTCAAGCACACTTAATAATTCAGACAAAAATTCAAAATGCACCAGCAAGTTCACCTGTGAATGACCAAAAAAGTTTTTTGAGTGGCCTAATCAAAGTCCAGACTTAAACCTGATTGAGATGCTTTGGTGTGACTTTAAACAGGCGGCTTCTGCTCAAAAACCTTTGTGTGTGGCTGAATTGAAATGCTTATGCAAAGAAGAGTGGGACAAAATTCTTCCACAGCGATGTGAGCCACTGTTCTTGATTGTCGCTATTCCTGCCAGGGGTCGCATGTAATTACTATTTTAAATTAAGTTTGGATAGCTTTGTTCCCTTAATAAATGAAATCATCATTTAAAAACTGCATTTTATACTTACTTGGGTTGTTTCTCTAGTTTTAAAATTTTTCTTGAGTATTTCTGTGTGACAATAATTTATTTCAGCCATTCATTTTCTTCTTTTTTTCCAAGTCAGGAAAGGGGGAAGGGTCACCAGGCAAAAGGTGGAGTAATCCTCCACGAGTCGCCAGTATATCACAGGACTAAAACACACAAACAGTCAGTCATTGCATTTGTACAGCGCTTTTCGAGACCCTCAAAGCGCTTTACAATTCCACTATTCATTCACTCTCACATTCACACACTGGTGCAGGCAAGCTACAGTTGTAGCCACAGCTGCTCTGGGGCAGACTGACAGAAGTGAGGCTGCCATATCGCACCATTTGTTCTAGTTCCCATCTGTAACATGGTCGATATGAATCTGGAAACACCCTTGTTGAAAGGGGCAGAGAACATTTTTGATTTTATGTCTTTTTAATAGTTAATTAGGGGTCAGCAACTGCTGGCATTAATTTAAAAAAAAAAATTAGTAAATTGTTTTGGTTTGAAAGTCCTTTTAATTGTAACTAGCAAGACTGTAAATGGGCTAGATAAGAGAGAGGAGAAGCATCATACCTACAGTCACTGCGCATACCTGAGAACTCAAGCTGCAAAGTGGGTAAGTGACGTGCCGGAAGTGCTAAGAAAACTTGGCTTTCAGTTTAGCAGTCATGCCAGTGTGGTTTGTGTTAAAGAATCCCATTAATAATGCAACGCACTGTCTGAATCTATTCACTCGTCAATACAGCCGCTGCACTGCTCCTGTCTGAGTGCCAAGGTAAGCTAGTTAACAAGCGCAAGTGTGCATTTCTGACGTGTTGGCGAGGCTAGCAGCGAGCTAACCTTAGCAAACACAAAGCTAGCCCGTGGTCGCAGCTGTGTTGTTGTAAGGTTTACCGTTGTAGAGGCTCAGACTTATCACTAAACTGATACCTATCGTCGCAGTCTGTGTTGTCCAAATAGAATAGAAGAATAAAACTTAGCGACCAGTAATTCAGAATGTCAACAAAAAAAGAGGAACAAGTTAAAAAGAAGGCACGTTTCCCCTCATCCTACAGAGCTTGGCTAGCTGTTGACTGCAGGCGTGGTGCCATTTAGCTTACAACCAAAACACTTCTCAGTACCTTAGCCTTTTAGATCTTGTGTCTGAGTGAATTAAAGGGTAGCTGCTAAAACCTCTTGTGTCTCCATAAAAGCCAGGAGAAAGCTTGGTGAAGGAGGATGGATGGAGTCAGCTGGAGTACTACAAGGTCCCAGGAGTCATTTGGTCGCTCCAGCTCAGCCACAGACACTCTGTCAAGGCTTGCCACCTTTATCGCTAGGGCAGAGACAAAACAGCACACACAAACCCAGAGGCAGCGTCTGCCCCAGCAGCCCACCTATCTGTGTCAAGAATGTGGTAACGCCTTTCCTTATGCCACAGATCTGTTACAACACCAGGAGTCTGAACACACACTGCCCAAGCCTCACCGGTGTCCCTCGTGTGGCCAGGAGTTCTCCCTGAGGTCATCCTTACAGCTACACAAGTGCGAGTCCACATGCTGCGAGCTTTGTCATGGGATGTCGCTATTTGGTTCCCCCTGCTCTACGTGCGTGACTCACACTTCTGATCCTGGCAGCCCCCTGGACAAGCCACTTCACCGCCAGCCTCATCACATGGACCACAGCCCATATGCGTGTGCCCCGTGTGGGAGAGGTTTCAGCCAGAAGCAGGCTCTGCTGCAGCACCAACAGGCCGGCTGCAATGAGCTGCCGTCCCTGTCCGATATAGCTGATGCCAGCAGACTCCCTGACGGCTCTTCACCTGTTTCTGAGGGGGATTCCACTCGCTCTGATTGTTCAGATACTCCAGGGCCCAGTGGCCGAGCTATCAACACGTGTCAACTCTGCTCAAGAGTCTTCCGCTCAGAAGCTGCACTGCAACGCCATGAACAGGCCAGCCATGCAGAGGAGCAAAGTGCCACCGATGGGGAGGTGAGGAAAGGAAGGAGTGCTAAGGTGGATGAAGAGCCAAGCAAGAGTTCAAAATCTCAAAAAAAGCTGCTGAGCTGTCGCTCCTGTGACATGGTTTTCAGGAGCACCTCTAAACTGTACATGCACAGAAAAGAAAAGCACAGTAGAGAGAAGAATGTCAGGAGAGAGCCGAGGCCAGTCGTCATCAAGCGGAGGAAAGCAGGCACGTATCCCTGTCAGGTCTGCGGAAAAGTCTTTGTCCACCATTTATCGCTTAGGGCACACTACAGACAGCATACAGCCTTGAGCTTGGTGGCTATCAAAAACAAAAGCAAGACTGTAGGATGTACCACCAAAGACTCATCCAAACTATCAGAAAACAGACCAAATAAAGCCAAAACCAGCCTCGCTGAGATTAAGACAGTCAGGGCTGGCCCAGGGAGACCCAGGAAAGTCATTCGACAGTTGACCAAGAAAGGTGTTTCAGGGAGATGCACAGAAGTGCCTGAAGCTCAGGAGGAGGTGGAGAGAGATTTCCCGTGCCCCTCCTGTGCAGAGGTTTTCTCTCTGCAGCAGCAGCTGAAGGAACACATGGAGCTCCACCAAACCTCCATGAAGAGGAGACAGTGCAGTGTGTGCACCACCGAGATGGACACGTGCAAATGGCCAGGCTCCAGGAGGCAGAGGCTGTACCACTGCGTGCCCTGCCAGCAGGGGTTCTCTGCACTTGACTCTTTCCTAGAACACTGTCAGGAGCACCTTCGAGTTAGGGTGGAGGAGGACAGCTTGACAGAGGGCTACACGCATCAAGCCGACAAAGCCTGACGTGTCAGTGTGAATGTCATCAGCAACCCGCCTTTTTGCCTTGAAGGGTTAGACAGAGGGGAGTGATGAAATCTCTGTGAAATTCTTGTTGAGTCACGAGTTCACTGATTGAGAATTCAGAATATATTGCTTTTGTACCCCAAACTCGGGCTTTGTTATCCAAACCATATCAACAGTTAAAAAGAATGTCTTATTAAGCTTTTATTTAGCCCTTTACCATGAATTTTATTTTCTCCTGCAAGACTCATTGAAAAGCACAGTGTGGATATCAGT